GCGCACTCGCTTGACAAACTCGAGGCCGTTCGAGTCGGTGTACCACGTTTTCTGTTTGCAAAAAGTCCCATGACCATCGCAACGAGCTCGCCGCGACACGACCGTACCTCCGACTGGACGCTCGTGTCGAAGCGCAAAATCACTTCTTTGCCTTGACCGTCGTCAATCGGAATCGGCCCCACCTAGGTGGCAGCACGTCGTTTACGGACGTCCACCGCCCAACACAATAAAATCGTACCGTCCATTCGACAACGATCGACTTGTCCCACACGTGGAGCTTGTACTCCAACGCGCCCCACGCACCAAATCGGAACGCACACGACGCCACCAACCGAGTCCTGTAGCACTTGTGGCTCGTGATGGCTGGCAAGGCATGCACGGCAGACGTGTTCGGGTGGAAGAGATACGCCCCGGACGAGCAGGAGTCGCCCGGCTTCCCGTACGCTTGGTAATACAACAACGACGACTTGACCGCCACCGTCGAGTTGGATCGTTTCTCTGTCAGCGACACGAGCGATCCGGTCGCAGTGTCGACTTCGACATGGACAAACTCGTTGTCGGCGGCCACAATCGCGTCGCGCACAACGGCCCACGACTCGATTGCGTTGGCGCCCGTCGATGTCGGAGTGACGTGGTACACCAACCAACTCAGAGGCGGCACGTTGGCCTGGACGACCAGTTGGTTGGGAGCTGCATGTTGGATCGGGTGCGCGTACACGGGGGTAAACGGGACGACGACGCTCGCGACCGCCGTGCCGTTGGCCAACTTGACCGCCGCGTTCGACGCGGTCAAGGGCAATTCAATCGTGTACGTATGCGCGACTGCCAGCGGGTTGTACACGAGAAACGTGAACAAGTCGGCGGACGCAGAGCGATGGCAGATGCTCACGTTGGCCATGAAACAAAAGTCCACCGGCGCGGCCAGCAAGTCGTTGACCCGCCAATTGCCATTGCCAACGCCCTCGCCGAGGCGCTGGGCATAATCGTCCGACACCTTTTGCTTTTCCGTGCCACTGATGCCGTCGTGGTGCAAGCTCAATCCGACCGTCGCCGCCAAATGGTGGACCTACCAAAGCGTCAGCGCAGTTCGAATCGAGCAACGCATACTCGCGATGCCGACGCGCCTGCCCACACTTCCAACTGACGCACGGATTGCAGCACGCTGTTGGCCACACGCACGTACCGCTTCAACGCCGGCCGACTGGAAAAGTACCCCGACCTGCACACACGCATGAACCTCACGCGATCGACGACGCCGCCACCCCGCCAGCGTACCAGTATCCATTTGGCTGATCTGCATACGGGAAAAAGTCGTCCGTTTTGACGCTCCACTGAATCGACTTGTCTTGCAATTTCAAGTCTGTGTACGCCGCCAACGTCGAGTAAAACATATTCACGCGCCCTTCTTGGTTGGCGTAGTGGATGAGCTTGTCCAGGTTTTTGAACCAACGCAGCGCGTTCTGGTACTGAAAGTCCGTCCCCATCGGCCAAAAGATGTGGTTGCCTACGGCGGCATCGCGTAACACATGCACCCTCCCATCGCGTGTACCTTTTGTGTGCTTGGCGCGTTCCAAGCTCTGGTCGACAAACGTCTTGATGCGCTCGCATACGTTATTGTCGTGCAGGTACGGGTCGTCTTTGATGGGCGCGTCGTTCTCAAAGTAGAACCCGCCAGGCCCGCCGTACCCATCCTGCAACATGCCTACATGGAACTACGCTCACGATCAACATGCCAGCCAACGATCGCACCGGTGAAGACCGAGTCGTTTCGAGATGCAGATGGCTTCCACAGGAACTCTACGACGGTTTTGAGCAAACGACCGATGCCGACGTCACTAGGTTGTGTTGTACCCAAGTTCTTTTCGTCCTTGCGCTTGCCATAGTCTTGGTAGTCCATGCGCGCAAAATACAGCGCATCGAACCCGACTCCCGACGACAGGAGCGACCCCTGCGTCGACGAATGGCCGAACGGATCAATCTGCCATCCAATGCGAGGACGAACTCTAATACTCAAGTTGAAGCAGCACCGCAGGACGTTCCATGCATACCCAAACTCGTCCAGCAAAAACTTGTGCCCGAACGCCGTTTGGTCCAGCATGGTCGTGTAGTGCGGCGTTGCTTCGTCGTGCATGACCCATCCACCATTGGCAGACAAGTCCAATTGCCCGTTCTTCACCAGCTTCTTGACAACCTTCTTGGTTTCCTTAGATTGTTCGCGCCACCTGCACGCACAACACATGTACATGCGATCGTGCGACAACGACGAGGACGAGTCGTACCAGCGTTGAAAAAAGGACTGCTCGACATACATGAAGCGGCGCTTGGGGTCCTTTTGCAACTCCGTCACGACCGTGTCCAAGATGTAGTCCACTTCTTGGGTGAAGTACTGGTCCACCGTGATGAGCCAACCAGGATCATCGTGAGTGTGCGGAATCAAGTGCACGTTGAGTTTCTCGGTCGAAATCGTCGCCGACGTGTTGTAGTGTCCATTATGGGGATACGACGGCGTCCAGTTGTCACACTTGAACCGAGGGACTTCTCCATGCCCTTGCGCGACGACCGCCGCCGCCGCCAATGCCGTCCACACCTTTGCCATGGCAGTCGATCTCAGCAATGGCAAGATCGCTTTTCTCGCGGGATGCCCCCCACTCGAACTCAGATATTTTAATATGGATATTCAAAGGTGCTTGATCAAATCAACTATAGACTGGAGAAATGTTTATTATTTCACAAGATTTTGAAATTTATTCTCGGCGATACAAACATCAAGTGTGTTTTATTCATATCGTCCCCGATCGTGCAAGATCTCTACAATGTTCGACCGCAGGCGACGCCCGCGTCGTCAACGCGAATTCGAGTTGTGGCGTGGCGAGAAATGTATCATGCCTTCAAGATATCGAGGCTACGTGGAAGCCCCATCCACCTTCGGCTTCCTCTGTTGGGCCAGCGCACTCGCTCCGTCGTATTTGCGTTGGTGTGTACTTGGCCGCACAACGTTGCAACTCGTCGTACTCGCGCTGCACATGCACCAAGAACTTGTCAGGGTGCTGGAACACGCTCGCATTCACTTGGACGCTGACGCCCAACGCGTCGGCCATGCTGTAGATGGCAATACCCATGTTCACACATGGCGGAGGTGGAACGTAGCCGTGGAGGGATTCCAATGGATGGCCATCAAAATCTAACGCAGCCGCCCCAGTGAACGTCAATGCTATGTTTAAGACACGTACACAAGACATGGCGCGGCCCTCGAACGTTTGAAATCGCGACTGACGAGTGCGACGTCAAGAACGCCACAACCTTGGCCAGCACCCGTGGCGGAAACTGGGCCACCATCGTGCTGAGTGCAAACGTGATGTATCGCTCCAAACTGTCTATCATCATGCCCTCGCCTAATAATCTCTCCATGCAACATCATGTCGAGGAGTACTTTTGGCTTCGTCCATTGCTTGCACGATCAGATGAAGGCGGCGGACAGGGCATGCTTCACCCAGCGGCAAGGCCACCAGCAAACAGCTAAAGCGATTGCTACAACCTCAGCAACATGACGAAATGCACCATCGCCACGTGTCGTACTCTGGTTCAGCCATCGTCGGCACATCGCCCGGTTGCCGCAGATCCACCGAGATGCCTAACCACAGGATGAACATGTCATCTCGGCAAACTTCCCAACGCATGCATGTCCTTCCAGCCTCAAATCCGTCAAGGTACTGGCAGCGTGTACAAGCTGGGCACACACACCTGCTCGCACCACGCAGGTCGGATCTGTCAAGCCCGACGGCATAGCGTCCCGATCAGTGGACGCTTCCTCCATCAGCATCGCCCGCAGCGCTCCCGTGATGCATGACAAGAATACATCGTTCACTGTCACGTGGACGCCGAGGTGCTTTGCCATCGCCTTGGTCGTTTTCACGCTGTATCCAGTTGTGTAAAACATCCTCTTCGCTCGACCTGCATCGTGACAATATTGGTGTGGGTGTCTAAGTCAGTGTCGACTAGGGTTACCACCAGCTTGATTCAACCGCGTTCGTGGCTCGGGCTGTAGCAGCACCCGTGTTGCTTTCTTCCCATAGAGCCACAACGACTTGATAACGAGATGGGCATGCTGTCCCAAAGTTTTCCACTTGGACGGCACCGTATGCGATGCAGCGGGTGGCACAACAGCCACGGGAGGGTTGTCACTAAGCCGCGCGAAAAAGGCATGCACCGACGCTATGGGGCGTTCTAGTGACGAGGATTCATGACGAGGGCATGTGTACCGCCATCGGCTAGCGCGTGATGGATGCGCCATACGACGAACGTGCGGTTGTCGCGCACTGGTAAAACGTGGCACGCCCACAGCGGTTGATCGAGGGTGAGCACTTGCGTGGCCATGAGCTCGGCAAACTCGAGTGGAGTCTTGTGGCGGTGTTCTACAGCGCAACAATCAAGCATCACCTGGGGGCAGAGTGCACTCCACCAAGGGGTACATCGTGGATATGTGATGCCGGGTTGAATCCCGGCACCAGTTCGAAATCATTCGTGTCGACCGCCACGCGAGAGCAAAACCGGCGGAAGAACGTTGGATCCGCGGCCATACGCTGGCACATCAAACCCGCCAACGACTCGAGGAGCCATACCCTGTGCAAGTCCAACAAAGGGAGTGGCCTCAACGTGAGATGTTTGAAGTCGCGAGGCAGTTTTACTTACCCCTGGACGACCATGATGATAGTCATGATCGGCGCGTGGTCGGCATCAGTTGCAAGGAGGGTCGCATGGCCGATAGGACGTAGGCGCCATCGCGACGTCACATCGGACCATCTACGTGGGTCAGACACGAACCTCAGGTGACTTTCACGATTGGTTCGATATACCGTCGAAACCACCAAGTCGGCGCGACGGCGAGAAGAAGGAGCAGCGACAACGACGCGAGCAGCAAGTGAAGAAGCACCACGAGCATGATGCGAAACTTTCAACGACGCGCCCCATGGCAGCTCCCCAACGACGTGTTCCTCGTCCCAGGGCGATCCTGTCCACACATGAATATTCCAACCGACATCCCCAGAGACCAACGGTGGTAAAACCTGTCCCATCTCTCGATCAGTGCTCGTCGCTACGGTGGCTTCCCTACTTCCTCGCCATAGACTCTAGCAACGCAAAGCATGCCCCAAAAGACTGCCTTGTGTGCCTTCGTCGATTCATGTCTGTCGACGCACCGAACATGCATGTCGTGTGTTCGTGAAGATAGAAATCAATTCTAGTAATACTAAACGTCGGAGAACAGGATTGGATTGGTCAAATATTCACTAAGACATGACCAATCAGCGGTCTTTTGACACAGTTGCCAACTGGAAGCGCCGATGTCGCTGCCGGAGGTAGATCTGGGGATGGAACGCCGTCGCTGGATGGTCGGGCCGACGCACGTCTGACAAAGAGGGCGATGCACACCTTCATCGCAAATTCAAACTGCAAAGACTGCATCGCGATGAAGGACAGAACACGATTGCCCATGGGGGAAATGTAGTCTCGAGTTTGGACAACTACCACCACGCGGTAGTTGTCAGAACGTTCACGACAAGTTTAAATTGTGATCCTGCCGGATGAATCGCACGCCAACGTACAACTACTGCCTGGCGTTGTGCTGTTGTTTGTGAATATATGCCGTGTTCACTCGACCACCTTGACAAAGGGCTGTTTCGTCCGCCTTGGCCCTTTTTATGGTGATGTGGCTTAGAGCCACATCCAGAAGACCACGGGTGATGAAGTTGTGGCATCACCCATGTGTCA